CGGCGTCGAGGCGAGTCGGAAGAACTCATCGACTGGGAAGACGAGTACGACGATCCACCCGCTAGAGATGGACCGCCGCCGCTATTTGGAGCCGAGGACGACCCTCCTTCTGCATAGGACCGTGAAGTCGGTCCAGAGGGGGAGGGTGTAACGGTCACGTGACTGAGGATGACTGAGGACGTGCGCGTCACGGATAAGCGCCGTGACGCGCGGTGGCTTGGTACTGTATAGTAGACCTAGAAGTAGCCGCGCACCGCGCCCGCATGTACCTCATCGCTTTACACTACGCTGGACTATATACTGCTTGAAACAGTTCACTCCCCAGCGTGCTAGGCGACCACCCTTGTCTTTGTTACATTTTTTTGAACTCTCACGGGTATCTGTCCAGACCAACAGGGCGAAGACTCACACCCATCAGGATGGAAGGCAATTTACGTCATAACGAGAACCCATCGCGCTCAAGATCCCGGATCGACGAAGACGGCGCTCCGGTGAGATCTAATGCTGGGATATCGGAACGGGCAGCATCAAAGAAGCCTGCGCGTCCTGACGCATTCCATCCGCCGAGGCACGAAGAGTCGGCACCAGGCCCCTCTCGATCCTCACGACCCGAGACGCACAGTTTCCATACTGCGCGCTCGTCTACTCAGGAGAGCACCGTAAACCCGGGCCCTTCTGCGAGGACCGCTGCGGACCGCGACGATCAACCGTCGTCCCGGCCCAGTAGCGTCCACCTCACCCCGCCATCTCCCACGCCGAGAAGAGCGTCAAAGAGAGACGAAATTCACCGGGAGTCCCGCCGGTCGGCTAACGAATCGAGCAAACGGCGGCCCACCTCCCGGGCAGACGGTCCAGTGGAAAGTACCACGCCGCCCCCGCGGGGTAATACTTCCCCATTGCCCGCCCCAACCGCGCGGCACGCGTCGGCGTACGGGTTCTTTGGGCCAGAAATCCATTCATCCACCCCGACGGGGGCCCATCGCTCGGGGCACGCTGACCCAGTAGGCAGCCTGCATCAGGAGCCTCTTCTACACCGACCGGACAGTCGTGAATCTACACGATCTGCCAGTCGCGCTCAGTCCCAGCGACTGCTATCCCCCGACTATCGAGCGATACTCGAGCATCAGGCCGCCCTGAACTACCAGGCGAGTCAGCGCAATGAGCAGCTCGCTGAAAACGCCATCGAGATGCGATCGTTTGCCCACCGAGGACACAGCTTCGTAGTCGAATATCTCAATGACGTCAACGCTATGAGCTCGCGGCTGAACCGAGTACTAGGCGATAACGCTCGCACAGTTAAGGACATAGCCAACGAGATGAACATTACCCGGCAAATACTAGGGGTACCAATTCCGGCTCCGCATCCTGAAAACTCCGGTGCTCAAGCCCCACCTCGATCCGCCAGTGTACCCGTATCTGAGGGAGGACGATCATCTGTCACTCTGGGCCACGAGGATTGGAGCCCACTAGGTCCTAACCCCTCGCCACCCCACGAGCATAGAGATACCCCTCCGCACTTGGGTGCCCGGCCCGAGTCGGGACAGCGTCAACGGTCACCGGGAGTGCACCAACACCCTCCGGGGCCCAACCACACTGCGGGACCGTATGGAGAACGAGTAATCTCGCCCCGATACCATGGCGAGAATATCGATGAATACAACGACAGAATGCGCCGGGGACTCGACCGCCACACCCGAGTGCGGTCTGCGATGCGCCCCATCCCGGAAGAGCACGCGAATGAACGCGTCCGATTCGCTGAGCCTGATCACTCGCACTCCCCGTCTGCGCGAAGCCCTCGTTTGGGCGACGCGCCATACCGGGATCCCCGCGAATATCTGCGGGAGTACGGGCCTCGACGATCCGACGGATACGCGCCTCAACAGTTCGCGGTGCCGCCCGATGACGGCGGATTCGACGCTCGTCAATGGCCTGGCAATTCGATTTCCACCGCGGCCCACCTGCGTCCGCGACTCGCCACTACTACCCTGGATCCTCGGATGCCTATGCCGCCAACGATGTATGGGTTACCAGGCCCTGCCGGGATAACAGATGTCCCCACTGCCGTAAACAGCGTTGCAGTAGGGACGGTTCGCTATCAAGACGCTATGCTTACCCAGCTGTGTCGGAACATCCGATTCAAAGTGGGCGTTCGGCGCCCCAAGCTCCCCGACGGGGCTAAGTTCCCGAAGATAGATGGGCCGGGGAAATACAATGGTGATAACGACCACCGAGTATTCTACACTTGGCTCGATGGCTATCTGAGCTGGCTCCGGGCGTATAATCTATGCGGGGACGAAACTGATGATGAGCGTGTACGACTCATGCGCACCTTCCTCTCCGGACCAGCGGAAGAGTGGTTCAGTCAGGAAGTCGACCACCCGTCGCTGTCATATCATCCGGGATTCGAACAAGCCATCTGTGCAATGCACCGCCGGTTTGTACACGCAAGCTCGGCGGCGAAGGCTACCCAAGACTTTGAGAACGTTAAATACGTTGCATCAGAGGGCGTGGATAGCTTCGCTGCTAACCTCCGGCAGGCTGGGCAACTCATGGTGGTACCCCCGCATGAGTACGAACTCGCTCGACGGTTCCTCAACGGATTACCCACTGAGATTTATAACGTTGTGGTGGTCCACAGAGGGCTGCGCTCCGAGTACATGCCATTGGCAGACATCTTGGAGCATGCTCGCCAAGTCGAGGAATCCCGTCGCATGCTACGCGCGCGCGACAAAATTGATCGCACCTCGACCACAATGGCGCATAGTCGGAGCGAGGATAAACGTCCCGCATCGGCTAACCGGCGGGAACCATATCGTCGCGATGAACCTCGCGTACGATCCGCACCCCGGGCAGGGTCTAGGGACGACGCGGCCCGCGCGGTGGCTGGAGGGAATAACCGACCTCGCGTCCCCGCTAACGGCGGAACCTGTTTCGCGTGTGGCAAGCCCGGCCATTTCGCGAACGATCCTGTATGCTCGGAATTCGGCAAACGTATCGACCGGCCTGGTAAACCCCAGGCTCGGTTACATGCACAGCGCCTGGACTACGATGGCGACGATGAGCTCATTTCCGAGGCCGGATCTGCAGCTGAGCGAGAAGCACCGCTAGCTGAGGATGATGGTTGGGCCGGGTCGCAATACGATTCTGGCCCCGCATCAGAGGACGAAGCATCCGAAGTCGAACGTGCCCACGCAATGCGCGCCATGTCCGACGATGAAGACGTCGTCCGGCTACACGCGAACAGAGTGGCACACACCGCGAACGTTCGCAGGAAGGAAACTGCAGACCAACCTAGCAGGGACCGTACCGCCCATGCTACCATGTCAGGGTTGGTGACTATCAACGGTATACAAGCGTATACGTTGTTCGATTCTGGTAGCACCACGGACTCGCTATCACCGGAATTCGCCCATGTCGCAAAGGCCAAGCGCATCAAATTGGACACCCAGATTGTACTACAACTGGGCTGTGCTGGGAGCCGCTCGAAGATCAGTTACGGTACTCGAGTCCCGATCGAAGTGTGCGGTGTCAAGGAGGACCGCTATTTTGACATCGTGAATCTTGATCGCTATGACTGTATCGTGGGCACGCCGTTCTTGAACGAGCACGGCGTCAGCCTGGATTTCGCGACGCGGTCATTCCGTATCGGCACGAATACGTTCCGCGCCTTTTCGTACGATGACGATAGGGAGTACCGTGCCAGACGGGGTACCGCGGACCGGAGTACTGCCAAGCCCAGCTGACTCCTGGCTGGCCGCAGTAGTACCGATCGACGCCCTCGAGTGACGACGGTGCAGGATGAGGAACCCGCATTGGTGAAAACGCACCCTGCGCGCACGCTCCCCGGCCACCTCCCGTATGTTGTGGAGGAAATGATTCGAGAAAACAGAGAAAAACGCGACACCGTACCGCCGGTTGCGGAGCAGGACTGGAGCACCACTCCCGAACCTGCTCGGTCGACCAAAGCCCGTACCGATACTAGTGCGGCAGAGCTGCCCAAGCTGGGCAATACCCATGTTTCGGGCAGCGAGGAGGAGGAGGAACGAACTCCGACTCCGGAAAAACCTCCGCGAACAGTCATTATGAATTTCGGGGCGGACCCAGAAACACCGCGGCGATATCATCATAAGTGGAAACCGGATCCACGGAACCCACCGTCGATGCCGGAACTCTCAGACCGGGAGAGAGTGGGACTACACTCCTCCCAAGGACCTCAAAGGGACAAGTTTGGCAATATCGACAAATATGGCCTGAATGATCTGCTCCAGGACGAGGCTATGGCCTATCTCAGGGACCTCCCTGAACGGGAGGTACTGAAACCTCCGGAGCGCATACCGGCTCTGAGAGAGAAGTGGTTCAAACACTGCGAGGACCTCCTGGGGCCCATACCCCTCGAATTGCCACCAATGCGAGAGATCAACCACAAAATTCCGCTCATGGACGAGTCCAAACGCTATTCGTACCACCACCCTCGATGCCCAGACGCGGTGAAGGACGAGCTACGCGAAAAAATGGGCCGGTACCTTCAAGCGGGATGGTGGGAGATGAAGCCTGCAACACAGGCCGCTCCACTATTGTGCGTGCTGAAGAAGAACGGTAAACTCCGTACCGTTGTAGATGCGAGACAACGCAACGACAACACATTCAAGGATGTGACGCCCTTTCCTGACCAGGATAATATCCGCCAGGACGTAGCTCGCGCGAAGTATCGCTCCAAGATTGACATGTCGGACGCGTATGAACAAATACGTATCGAAGTCGACGATGTGTGGAAGACCGCATTCTCGACTATATTCGGCACCGCGGTCTCCCGAGTCATGCAGCAGGGAGATTGCAACGCGCCGAGCACGTTTCAACGGCTTATGACCTGGATTTTTCGAGATTACATCGGCGTATTCGTGCACGTATATCTCGATGATATATTTGTATTCTCTCGCACTATCGACGAGCACGAGGAGCACCTTAAACTGGTGTTCGATCGACTCCGAGAACAACGGCTTTACCTGAGCCGCTCGAAGCTCGATCTGTATTCGGAAAAGATGGACTGCCTAGGACATATGATTGACGACCGTGGGTTACACGCCGACACGGACAAGATGTCGATCATCCGCGACTGGCGGACACCTCGATCTCAGGTCGAAGTACAACGGTTTCTGGGGCTGGTTCAATATCTCGCCCATTTCATGCCCGACGTTTCGGCGTACACTTCCCCTCTCGAAAGCATTTGCCGCAACGGTGTACCATTTCATTGGCGCCCCCTACACCAAGCGTGTCTTGACAATATCAAGGCGTTAGCTTGCCGGGCACCGGTGCTAAAACCCATCGACCCGAATTGCCCGGATCCTATCTGGGTGATCACCGATGGGTCTGTGGTCGGGGTTGGGGCGGTATATGGGCAGGGGCCCGATTGGCGCAGCTGCCGGCCCGCGGGATTCATGTCCAAGAAATTCACATCGGCGCAGCGATCGTATCACACGTACGAGCATGAGGCGCTGGGGATAATCGAGGCGCTGATGAAATGGGAAGACCGACTCATGGGTCGCTCCATACGCATTGCGACGGACCACAAGGCCCTCACCACCTTGAAAACGGTGATGAGGGACACCCGAGCGGGACGTCTTATTCGCTGGGACGAATACCTTTCTCGGTTCGATTACGAAGTCGAACACGTGGAGGGTGTTGAAAACAAAGTAGCGGACTGTCTGTCGCGTTACTATGAGAACGACCTCCCCGATGAGATTCACCCGTCCCATCTCTACGTCAACGCCGACCTGAGACTCAATCCAGAGATGGACGATCTCACCGACGTCAGACAGGAAGAACTGCGCGCGGAATTGTCGCTAGCCGCATTGCGCGAAGTGATAGAGGACCGAGAACTGGAGGCGGCCACTCTGGGCCAAGCCCCCATCGCGGCCGGCCCTGATAGGATCTCTGCTGCGGAGCCCACGCTGCAGGATGCACTGCAGAACGGGGGCCCCCTCGACAAAGAGCTGGGCGCGACCCCGGGGTTCTGGGACACAGTCAAGTCGGCTTATCCGGCCGACCCCACGTTCGGGAAAGTCGTGGCGAAAGTGAGCGATTATCCCAACTTCTCCATGCAAGATGGACTCCTCTACGTGCGCACTCGGTTGGGATTCCTCTGCGTGTGTATTCCTCAGGGAAAGTTGGGGCCGAGAGCCTTAACCGAACTGGCGATTGACCACGCCCACCGTACCCTCGGACACCTCGGGCTACAGAAAACTTCCGAGTATCTGCGACGTTGGGTCTGGTGGCCCCGGATGCACTACGACGTGGAGAAGTTCTGCGTATCCTGCGGTGTCTGTCAGACAACGAAGAGCAGTAACGCGCCTCCCGCGGGGTTGCTTCATTCGATGCCTGTCCCTCTGTTCCCGTGGCAATCCATCGGCATGGATTTCGTTGGGCCGTTCCCTGAGTCGGGCGGATTCAATTACATGTTAGTCGTCATCTGTCGACTGACCAGTATGGTCCACCTGATCCCCTGTCGGGTGACCGACTCCGCGTACACCATAGCGACGTACTACGTGCGCGACGTAGTGCGACTTCACGGCCTGCCGGAATCGATAGTGTCAGACCGTGATTCCAAGTTCACGTCTGCATTCTGGCGCGAAACCCACCGCATCCTCGGGACCACACTGCTCATGTCTACGTCATTCCACCCCCAGACCGATGGGGCGTCGGAGCGGTCAATTCGCAATGTGGCTCAGATCCTACGCTCAATGGTGGAACCGGACCAATCGGACTGGGTCGAGCGGGTTCCCGTGGTGGAATTTGCTCTCAACTCGAGCACAAGTGCCTCCACCGGATTCGCGCCATTCGAGCTGAACTATGGCTACATGCCCCGCACACTGCGATTTGACAACACCCCGTCGCAATACCCGGGGGTGACCGCGTTTGCCGAGCGGGCCCGGCTGAATTTGGAACGGGCCCACGACGCCATTCTCAAGTCGCGGGTGAAGCAAGCTCACTACGCCAACCAGCGTAGGACGGGCGAGCTGGTACCTTACAAAGTCGGCGACTTAGTCTACTTGTCGACTAAAAATCTGGCGCTGCCCAGGAACCGCGCCCGCAAACTGGCCCCCAAATTCGTGGGGCCATACAAAGTCGTTCGCGCCAACCCGGACACATCGAACTACACGTTGGAATTGCCGGAGGAGCTCGTTAAACGACGAATCCATCCGACGTTCCATAGCTCGTTACTGCGCGTGCATATCCCCAATGATGATGTCGCGTTTCCGGGCAGGGAGGCCAAGAAGTTCTATGACTTCGGCGCTCCGGACGACCAGGAATGGATGGTTGATGAGATTTCCGGCCATCGATGGAAGGGCCGGCAGCCGGAATTTCTGGTCCACTGGACGCTGGGGGACCATACATGGGAACCCCTGGCACACTGCAACGACCTGAAGGCGCTGGACGACTATCTTGCGCTGATGAACGTGTCCTCATGGCGGGATTTACCGCGCAAGGGCCGTCAGTAGGGTGATACGCGCGACGGCGCTGCTCGTCGGGATACACCGCGCGAGCAGGGCGTTATGTCGGTCGGGCGTGTAGGCGCGCCGTCACGGTCACGGGGCCGTGGGACCGAGTCCATAACGGGCTCTCGCGAGGAACTGTACAGTTCCTGGCGGAGTTCGAACCTACTTTTAGCGCCTGTCGCCGCGCGCTGCCAGTCGCGCTGCTCGATTGCTTCTCATCACCTGCCGCTCGGTTGCTTACACAAGCCGTCCGAGAATGGCTCCCGAATCATCCTCCAACAGCCACCAGCATGGTCGCGAGCCGCCCGGGGGCTCTTCCCGCTCCCACGACGACTGGGGGTCCTCGTCCTCGCGGCAATACCGCCCGGACTCGGGCCCGTACGACTCGCCCAGGGGGGGAGGGAGCAGCGGGTATCAGGCGGGCAACAACCCGTACTTCCCGCCGCCACCGAACTCATTCTCGGGCCCGTCGTACTCCGGACCACCCCCATTCTCCAACCAGGGTCAAGGCCCGTACCCCCCATCTTACGACTACGGTCACGACTATGACCCACGACCGACGCCTTCCGAGGATCCTATAGCGGCCATCGTCCGCATGTATTCGGAGAACGGCGCGCTCATGCGCCAGATCGGCGACCTGCGAGTAGAACTCGCCAACGGAAAGAATGCACACGGCCAGCTCCAAAAAGAGCTGGACGGTGCTCGATCCCAACTGCATGCACTCCGTGAGGAAAACACGAAGCTGCGCGCGGAAGTGGAGAAACTGCGAACGGATGCGCGCGACGACGAGGGCTCACGACCGCACAAACGGCGTGATGACCGCGACGACCGCTATCGCCTCCAACGAGACGACCGTGACCGCGGTGAGGTCCGTACCCGGAGGACCGACGCGGACGAAGAGCGGCGCGACTACGGTCGTACGAGATCCCCTACTCACTCTCGTCCGCGCGATCGGTCGCCGGCCAGGCTAGGACAAGGCCGCCAGCCGTCTCCCCCTCGTGCACCGCTGAGTGAACGAATCCGCGGCCGATCCCCCGCGCGCCCGCGCCTTCAGGAACGGCTGCAGGACCCGCCCAAATCACTGAGAGAGCGGATCGACCGCCGTGCTACCCCGCCCAATGCGCACCACGGTGGTGCTCCGACGGCCGCGCCGGTGGACGACGTCGAGATGACGGACGCGGCCGCCAAGGAACCCCTTCCGAAACGGCGTCCGTCACCGCGTAATACTACGATTGCCAAAACCGCGGCCCCGAACACTCCACACGCGGCTTCGGTGGGTGCCCGTGCTCCTCCTCACCCTATCCCCGAGTCGCGTGCGCCCCCGATGCAGATCCCATCCACCCAAGGGATGTCGGACGAGGCCATAGACGCGCTCCGTCATCAACCGGATCAGGCACTGGACGTGTCGGGGCAGCCGCAGTCGGCGTGGTACCTTCGGTGGAAGTCCGCGCTCACTATGGCGGAAGAGTACGAGGACTTGGAGATGGACGACGAGTCCGGCAGCGACACCTCTGACATGGGTCGCCCGGAATTCGGTTCCCCCTTCCCCGACCCTATCGTCGCTTACCGGTCCCTCATGACGCCTGCGGCTGAGGAGAAGGAAGGGTACCGAGTGGCACGCACTTCGTCGAAGCCCACCCACAAAATCGCGGTGTCGGCCGCCATCGAGGAGTTCCGAACGGCCACGGCGCAGCTGGGAAAGTGGGCCGGCACGACCATCACCAGCGTTGTGCAAGCACACAACCTGCGTTGGTGGGCAGCCGTGGAGTTCGACAACCGCGCGATCGCGTACTATCGCGCGGTGAATCAGCTCTACACCCACCCGGCGATCCGGAGATCCGCGGGGGTCCGGTACCTTCTCCAGGTTTACGGTACGGACCGCGCTACCATCGGGCGAGGGCATCGCGACGACCTCCCTAGCCGGCCGCAACTGGGCAATGCCGCATTCCCGAAGCCATCAGCGACGCAGTTGGAGGTGGTGGCGTACTACCGAAACGTGCCCACCTCTCATTGGAGTATCGGGATGCGACGGGCGGACGGGAAGGTCCCGGAGCATAGTGCCACCATATTCGGGGTACCCCACAAGAAGGACGCATTCGCGGCGTTTGTGATCAAGCATATCACGACGGTTCCCCCTTCGCTGCGCAGCTCCGAGACTCGTACGCATTCCGGCGTACTGAAAACCACGATAGTAACGTTGTTTTCGGTCACCGGGCTGTATGAGGCCATCGTGACGAAGGGCGGGTATAAGTCGGTAAAGCCCGCGCCCCCCGCGCCCTACCCGTACTCCGTCGCCGGACTGGACATCGTCCGGGTCGCGGCTTGGCTATGCTGCCATGGAATAGGCACCAAGGTCGAGCTGGTTTCCTACCTCCGCCGGTGGGCGCGTACTGCGCGAAACCGTGCACTGCACCGTGTCGATCACGACGAAACCGACTGGCCGGACGCCCCCCGATCCGTGGACGAGTTCATGGGCTCCGAGGCCGCCCTCTTGGTGGTGGACTATCGCGACTTGCCCTGGGGAACCCGCGTCATCGACATCGTGGACCGCGCTGTTCCCCGCGATCCCACCCCCGTTCCTACTCCCATCGTGCCCCCGGCTTCGTCCTCGAACCCCACGAACGCACTCCCTGTTTTGGGGGCGGCCGCAGATCCGCCTGCTCGCGCTGGACATTCTCGCCGGTCGTCGGCACCGGCTAGCTCCCCTGGCATTCACCAGTCGCCCGTACCCGCCCCCTCGATTCCCTATCGGCGTCGAGGCGAGTCGGAAGAACTCATCGACTGGGAAGACGAGTACGACGATCCACCCGCTAGAGATGGACCGCCGCCGCTATTTGGAGCCGAGGACGACCCTCCTTCTGCATAGGACCGTGAAGTCGGTCCAGAGGGGGAGGGTGTAACGGTCACGTGACTGAGGATGACTGAGGACGTGCGCGTCACGGATAAGCGTCGTGACGCGCGGTGGCTTGGTACTGTATAGTAGACCTAGAAGT